GCTGGGGGGGACGTCGAGGCGGTAACGGGCGGCAACGCGAGCGTCGTGGCCGAGGAGCTACTTGTGCAATGGCTTGATGCTGTTGTCATGCGCTCTTTGCTCACCGGCGGCCGACTGCGGGGCATTTTGGGCACGACCGGTGCGATGGGGCAGGGCGAGCAGCGGCTGCTGGGGGACGGCCACGACACCCTGAGCATTGTTGATCACACACGCTTGCTCCATTCCGCCGTTTTTCGTGGGTTTTTTTTATCTGGACAGCTGCGGGGCGTGGAGTCTGTTGGCGCGCAAGCGAACCTGATGGTTCCCCTGTTTGGGGTGAACGGGAGTGAGTCTCAGCAGCGCGTTGAGAGGCGCGTGGTAGATGTGTTTGAGGGCCTGCAAAGGCAGGAAGGAGGTCCGCTGTCTGCGTGCATGAATGCTGCGGTGCTGCTGGCTGTGCAGGGTGGCGCGTCGGCTGCTGGTGATGGCGCGTCGCCGCTGAGGTTTGTGGTTCTCGACGTTCGTCCTCTGGCACCGAGTCTTCCCTTCACGTGGCACTTTACGTGGGCCGAGATATGTGCGCTGGGGCAGCTTGACACAGGGGCTGGCGCGGGCCATGGGTCGGTGTCCCTCCCTGTTTTCAAAACGACGCGTGTTGCCGTGGCGTCGCTGGAGCCGTACGATGCACTCTCGAGGGAGGCGTTTCCCGTGCTTAATGGGTATCTTCGCGGGGCCCGCCTGCGGCGTCGAGCGGTCATGGACTCGACGAGGTTTACCGCCGCTGCTGCCGGCGCCGCCCTTGTGCTTGCTGCCGCGTTTGTAGGAAGACGTTACTTTGTGTCTTGCTCTGGGTGAGACCTTGTGCGAGGCGGGGCTTGGGATGGTGTATTGAGGCGACCGGCGTTGCCCGGCGTGTAGGGATGTAAATGCTACATGCGAGTGCCGTGTGTTTTTTTATTGAATTTTTTTTGAGTGATGCTACGTGCATGCTCCCCCTGGGGCGCCCCACGCGGCGTCGCGTGTGCCCATCTGGCATCTATGGCCTCCGGACGGTGGCGCTCTCCCTCCTTTTTCCCACGGCCCATTCCCTCTCCCCCCACCCTCCACACGTAGGAAGTGTTTCCTGATACCATGGAGGAGCCGCAATTTTTTGGAACCTACGTTCTGGAGCGACTCGATGACGAGCCGCTCACAACGAAGGCAACGCTGGAGCTGAGGGAGGTGCCTGACGGCGTAGGGGTCGTCGCCAAGGTTGCCAACACGTTGCGTGGCCAAGTGAAGTTCAGTGAGGGCAAAGTGTGCGGGGGTCTCTCGTCCACGATGCTTACAGGGAGCGACGAGCAGAGCAAGATTGAGGGGGCGCTGCTAAAGGGGTTTGCGGCTGGCCTTGAAGTGCACTGGGACGACGGCACTCTGACACTGGCGGGGAGCCTGAATACCCTCGTTTTTCATCGTGTGTTGACGGTTGAGAGTCTCGTCGGCCGGTACACTCTCAGGGAGTTCAACGGCGAACCTGTTGCTGCTGAGAATATGGAGCTGGTGGTGGTTCCCAGTGGCGAGGAGTGCGTCTCGGTGGTTGCCCAGTTCACGAAAACTTTTCGCGGAGAGTTGAGGCTGGATGATGACACCCTGCAGGGTGTGCTTGCCTCAACGGAGGAGGCCTCCGAGGGCGCGCAGCAGGAGATGGAGGAGAGGTTTGATGCAGGCATGGGGGGCGGTATGCGGGTGTCGGTCGAGGGAAAGACGCTTGCCCTGAAGGATGACCACTGCGCCTTCTTGTACCTGCGGTCGCTGCTGCCGAGTGATCTCGCCGGGGAGTATGTGCTCAAGAGCCTCAACGGCGCCCCCGTGCGCTCGGATGGTCAGGTGACGCTGGCCCTTTCCCAGGATGGGGGCGGGGGCGTGGACGTCGTCGCGAAGGTGGCCGGCGTCTTGAGCGGGAAGGTGCAGCTGGCGGAGGATACGCTGCGCGGGGAGCTGGTGGCAACTGCGACGACGGGGAGCGATGCCGAAATGCTCGTGGAAAGCGCGCTGACCAGCGGCTTCAGCGCCGGCTTTCTCTGCACCGTTGAGGAGGGGCGGCTAGCAATGCGTTGCGGCGAGAACACACTCGTTTACACGAAGGCGGCGGCGATGCCGTACGCGAATGGGAAGCCAACGTACCTGGGGGAGAGCGTGGTGCCGTGCTTCAAGGGCCACGGCAACGGGCTGATGTTTCGCATCACCAACGCGGACGAGCGGAAGTGGGCCTTCTACAACGACACGACGACGTACAACGTGCGCGTTGTGGTGACCTTTGGCTCCAGGTCGAAGGTCAGGGGCCTCGGTGACACATTGCTGACGTTGAATGAGGACGGCCGACAGGTGGCCGAGGCGGTCGTGCCCCCGGGCGCCACCATTATGTTTATTACTGGGCATGTAAACGGGTACAGGTGCTCCTACGACGCGGAGCCTGTGTAGGGACGGCCGCGGCACGACGCCGTGGGGGGTGGGTGAGGCACTTGGAATAGGGATTGGGCTGGGGGGCCTTTTTTTGCTGCTTCTGCATGTGGATGCGTCCGTGCTGCGGTGCGTGTTTTTGTGCCTACTGCGCTGCCGGCGCACCGTTGACTCCGTCTGCTTTTTTTTTTCGTTGGTGGGTTTGCGCGCGGCACACACAAGCATTCGCAAAGTAAAGAATAAAATAAAACAAACAGCAAGAGCAACTCCAAATCAGGACAAGATGGCGGCCGACGCAAAGACTCTTTTCGGAAAGTACGCGCTAAGCAAGCTGAACGGAAAGGGCGCCGAAAAGGGCGAGTGGGATGTTCCCTCTCTGACGCTGGAGGCGGACGGAGATAAAGTGCGGGTTCATGCGAAGGTGGCCAACACAATGAACGGCACCCTGAGGTACGAAAACGGCAGACTTACTGGGATGCTCATGTCGACTAGGATGATGGGGCCACCGTTCCATATGGACGTGGAGCGTGCCCTTGGCGCCGGATTCGAACAGGGGATGCGCGTCTCGCGCGAGGGTGATACGCTGACCCTCTCCCACGACAAGGACACCCTGGTGTTTGTCGTGGACAGCAGTGCCGCCGCGTAAGAGTGTGCGGTGTGCGGTGGTGGGGTGGGGGGATGTACGATAGTTTCTTTTATGTGCTTTGTATATAGCTC